CAATTCAATTCTAATGTGCTCAAAAACTTCTTTCTTTATCTTAATACGTTTTTTTATGGCTAAATATTTAACATCAATGTACTTACTTTGACTTCCACTCTTATTATTAGCCATGAAAATTGCAATAGAAAAGATATCACAATACAACATCAACAACTAGAAATAAAGTACACAATTCTTAGCCCATATAGAAAACTCTTCAACCATACATCATGTAAGATAGTCTCAAGATAAGAAATGAAACTTAGCCTCTATAGTAGAAGTAACAGTCAAGGTCAAACTTAGCCTCTATAATAGAAGTAACAGTCAAGGTCTAGATACAACTCCACAAGCTAACATAAAAATATAGATTTTCTAATATCAATGCAGTCAGTCAGTAAAGTCTAAATCAAAATAGTCTATCACCTCCAAACCACCAGTTCTTTTGTACATGAACATATAATCCTTTGCAATATTATCAATGGCTGATAGTGGGTCATGGCGGAAAACAAAAAAACTGCTATAAAATTATGGCAGATGCCATGGCAGGTTATGGCGGTCATATATATATATATATTGCAAAATGTGATATAAACTAAAAAACTAACTACATATAAAAAGGTTGAGAAAAAAAGAATAAAATGGTTGTACAATAGTGAAAAAAAACTGAAGTTATAATAGGAAAGTAGATAATTAAAATAAATATGGAGAAGGAAATTTGGAAGTGAAAACAGAAAAATAGAATCAAAGAAAACAAAATAATAAGGAAAAACGAAAAAAATGGGAGTAAAACAGAATGGGAGAGGGAAAAACAAAACTTAAAAAAAAATGAGAGGGAAAAACTAAGAAAGAGGGAATAAAATGCTGAAGTTATAACAGAAAAGTAGAGAATTAAAATAAATATGGAGAAGGAAACTTGGAAGTGAAAACAGAAAAATAGAATCAAGAAAACAAAATAATAAGAAAAAACAAAAAAAATGGGAGTAAAATAGGGTGGGAGAGGGAAAAACAGAACTGAAAAAAAAAAAAATAGGAGAGGAAAAAACTAAGAAAGAGGGGCAGAGCCCAGAGACACAATAGAAAATGGACATCGGAAAATAGGGCCTTCCACTCAGTTGCCGGAAAATAGCCGAAAAGAATGTCTTCTCCGACAAAAATGGTGAAGGAGATGAAGGAGAAATTGGCTTTAGAGAAGAAGGAAGAAAAACAGTGTAGAGAACCCTAAATATTTTACCCTTCAGAAAATTTACCGCTTGAGAAGAGAAGGTAAAAATTTTAAGTGGAAAAAGTCTATTTTTCCCTTAAAAAACCCTAAAATACATAAAGCAAGGGCAAGATTGGAATTTTCGCTATCTATTTTGCCCTTAAAAAACCCTAAAATACATAAAACAAGGGCAACATTAGAATTTTGCTCTCTTTCTCTATTACACTTTAACACCCACACCAAGACACTACACCTAGGGCTTAACCTCTGCGAAGAAATACTTCACAGCAGCAGCAGGTGGCAGACTGCTGCTCCACAGCAGCACAATAGCCTGCCGACGCTCCACAATGGCACAACAACAATGAAGAAAGGAAGAAAATGTGATTTAGGGTTTGGGCTCATGAATTATCTTTTTGGAGCAGGTCCAATCAATGGCCCAACTCAATTTTTCCCACAAAAACGCCATTGTTTTACATTTTCCGCCATGGCAGTGGCGGTAACGGCTGCCATGGCGCCACCATTAAAAAATGCCAGAAAACGGTAACGCTGTAACGGTGGGGTCAAAAACTGCCACCGAATTCTGCCATGGCCGCCATTTAACAACACTGATCCTTTGTTCTTTAAAGATATCATTACCTTCTTTGTAACTTTTAAATGATCAACACTTGAATTAATTTGATATCTTTCCAAAACTTCAACTACAAATGCAATGTCAAGTTTAGTACAAACTTAAGCATACAAGAAAATTCTAACAACTAAAGTATATGGAATATTTTTCATATGTTTTTGCTCAAAGTCATTTTTCGGACATTAACTCAATTCAAGTTTACCACCCTTCACAATGGGAGCTACATTTGATAAATAGTCTTTTATGTTAAACCTTTTTAAAATCTTATTGATATAGGTCTCTTGAGACAAATCCAAAATGTCTCAAGATATTTCTCTATAAATCTTAATGTCTATGCAATAATATGTCTCATCATATCATTCATATCAAAGTTCTTTAAAAGAAATTGTTTCACCTCATATAACATACATTTATCATTAGCTACAAGCAAAATATTATCCATGTACAAAACAAAAAAACAAATGTTACCCCTTATAGCCTTTAGATATATACATTGATCCATAAAATTTTCTTTAAAACCAAATAAAGATATAACTTCATGAAATTTTAAATATTATTGACGGAAAACTTGTTTTAATCCTTGTTTTAATCTATATACAAATTTATTAAGCCTACAGACTAAATGCCCACCATCACTAGAGAAAGATCCTTCAAATTGTCTCATGTAAACCTCTTCTTTTAGACCACAATTGAAGAATGTTTTCATATTCATTTGATGTAACTCAAGATCAAAATGAGCTATTAATGTCATAATTACTCGAAGAGAATTTTTCTTAGACACAGAAGAAAATGTCTCCTTATAATTAATTTCTTTTCTCTCTCTCACTTTTTTTTTCCTATTATTAATTTCTTCTATTTGAGTGAACTATTTGGCAACAAGTCTTGTCTTATGTCTTTTAATATTACCTTGGGTATCTTTCTTTATTTTAAAGACCTATCTACATCCAATAGCCTTTACACCATTAGGAAATTCAATGGAATTTCAAACTTTGTTAGATGTCATAGAATTCATCTCATCTTTCATAACATTGTACCATAAATTCAATTACTTAAAACTTATGACATGTAAAAACATTTTAGGATCATTTTCAACTCTAACATTATAGTCTACTTGTAGTTACACTACATAATCACTAGAAATTGCTAACTTTCTCATTCTAATAAATCTCCTTAATATTGTTTCATTATCTTGATGAATAACTTGTAAAACAGAGAACAGAGGAGAGCTGAGTGGAGAGCTGTAGAAAGAGTTGAGATGTAACTTGAGGGAGGCTAAAGTTTTGTATAAGGAAGAAGAAGATGCAGAAATAAAAAGGAGGCAAAATTCCAAGATTGCCCCCCGGGCCCAACGGTAACAAAGGGCAGAATCAAATTTTAGATGGCATAGCAGCCACTCCAGCCGCTATTTCCACAATTTTTGGCCGCGATTTGCAGCGCTACCGCTGCTATAGTAAAACACGACGCTACAGGGTCGCCGTGCCACCGCGATAGTGGCTGCTATAGGCACTATTGACTACTATAAATATAATCACACTCCTCTAATCCAAACGAGTTTCATGAATGAAAATTACATTACAAGAATACTAGGAAAGGATTTGTCAAATGTAGTGAATCGCTCATCTATAGCCTTCAATAAATCTATAACATTATCTAGTTAATCGATAAAACAGCAAAAACATTAGTCTTTTTTAAAGTCTAAGGCACATAAAATGAATTAAATCTCTCTCACTTTTCATAAAGATCAACTTCATTGCCAGTGATTCTTTCTTTCTAATAGCATAATCAATATTCATCTAACTCAAATGAAGAATTCTTTCTTTCCAAATCTTATGATTCTCACCCTTTAACTCAAGAACACCACACTTAATATCAAAATTATTCATAAATTGGAAAACTAAGTTCAAAATACATGTTTATCACCATAATTTAAAGTTAAAATAAATGTCATACTTTGATAATGCAAACATGTCTTAATTTATAAATATTTGCCTCTAGACTAAAGTCTTACTCGAACTTATCATATGACAAAACTATAACATTATGATTCTTTTCTTAATTCCTATAAGTAAATTAAGAAATATAATTCAATATTTATTCTTAATTAATAATACAAATGTAATAAAATTATTGTGAATAAATTTTATCACATTATATATAATTAATTACAACTAATATTTTCAATATAACCTTAAAATTATATATGATTCTAATCAATTAAAGATATAACTACTCTCTAATTTATTAAAATTATATTTGTTACTAAACATTAATTTTCTCTAAAAAACCAAATGTTTGCGTTAACATCAAACAAAATAGGTAATAATACATAAAATTGCATCAATATATCCAAAATAATAAAATAAATATACAATTTTATGTTAAGTAGATCATACAAAAGTCTCATACAAGAAAAACTAGTAAACACATTATATATGACTTTAAAAGAGAATAATCTACAAAGCAAAAGAATATAGCCTCATCATGTAAAACATGAAGGTTCGAAACTGCGTCGTGTTATATATAAAACACAACTAACCACTGCAACACTCTTAATTGATGCCCAACTATAAATTTGACACTGCAACACTCTTAATTGATGTCCAATTATATAAATTGTCAGATGCGTCAATACTTGAAACCCAATTTGTTTTAGCACATATTGAACACAAAATAACACTATTCATTAGCAGGGTCAAATCACACAAGATTCACGTTCTAAAAAAACAAAAAAATTTAAACTCTCCAATCAAAAGGAACAAGCAAAGCACAGGCATATTGAAGGTTTGGATTCCAAATGTGTTGTCTAACCATTCTAAACATGTAACAAGACATGCTTATGCATATATGCGAAAGAAAAATTAAAATCAAAACAAAAATGCTAATCTCTAGTCATTGCAAATCAGAACATAGATAATGGGATTGAATGTAGCATGAAAAATGGACTACATACACAAACTCAGTTCCTAAAAAGTAGGAAACAAAATTGCCAATATGATCAACAAGGTAATTTTCCTTTAAAATGACAAATTTACAGTATGAAAATTCTTTCATTAGTAAAATACGTGACCAGTCACCTAATCAGAATACATCTTAGGTTTTTATCTCTGCCACGTGATGAACCTAATAAAATTGGAGATACTGATTTAATGGCAGTATACAAGTATACAACTACTTGACAAATAAAATAGTCCACAAAACAGTAACATATCCATAGTCGTGGAATTTTTTATACCACTGTTGATCAGAAAATTAAACATACTCAAATAGATTGCTTCATAAAATATTTTAAAAGTCAGGAGTGATTGAACCAGTGAAACCTCCGGGTTATGGTTCCGGCTGCTTAAAACCAGCGGAATCTTGTATAGAGAGATGATTACACAAAATAACTTTTAAACCATAAGCATACCCACTTTGGGTACGGCTGATTCAACCAACCAAATCACTAACGGTAAATAATATTTAATGGGTATAGCAGAAAAAGAAAACTATTGAGCAGAAGATGCAGTAGATTTCAAACAAATGTCACTTTAATACCAGTGGTTTCTTCATCCAAAAGGTTGGCTCCCAACACAGAATGACTTGATTCATTCCCTCAACAAAATTAATCATTCTTATGCCACAAAATCTGCTTATCTAAAGTGGTCCAAACAAGCCATGACGTTAGCTCTTGGGCTTCTCAAAAACCAATACTATTCAACAGCTTGCTTGTCCTTTCTAGCTACAAAACCAATGCTCCTTCAGTAAAACTGCATTGAGAAAGTAGAGATATTCCAACTGCAACAAGATCATGAGCAAAGTACAAATACACCGACAGTGAAAATTAATAATCCAGCATGAGAGAATCAACACACAAAACTGTATCATAATGGAGTTGTCGACAAAGTTAACAGTTGCACTAGAAGATTTTAAAGAAGCCAAATAAACACAAAATTAACATGACATGGAAACAGCTCTAACAAATTTCGTGCTTTACTAAAATCACTCAAACCTAAAATCTCCCAAAAAGTTCTTTATCCCTTTTCTCAAAACTCAGCCCTTCAAAGCTTGTTTTTCCTCTGCCTTTTGGATCTTCAAGACCTTTTTGACAATCTTTTGCTCTTCAACCAAGAAAGCTCGAATAATTCTACAGAACCAGAGACAAAATTAAACAAGGTCCTCCATCTATTTACACAATGAAAATTATACGTCATGTAGACCAAGAAAGTTGAGAAAAACAAACCTTTCTCTAACAGCTCCTCCAGACAACACTCCACCATATGCACGATTCACAGTCCTTCGGTTCCTGGGTAACCTAGATCTCTTGTATTCAGCTGGCCTTAAATGTGGAATCTGTAAATTAAGAACCACTGATAAATCTCAAATCATTCATACAGTGGAATCTTCCAACACAGCAATAGGGACAACAAAATGCAAAAGTAACAACTGGTGCAGAAACATTAACAAATTCAAATAGAACAATCACTGACGGACATGATTTAGGATAGAAAACAGGGTAGTCAAAGGCACCAAAAGCTATGCCTAAGGCTCAAAGGCACCAGAGAGGTAGTGTCTCTTGTGGCACATAAGAAAGTCCTTTTTCTGATAACAGTAATATAACCTCCGAAATACCATCTCGCTTGCTTCCTGCGATGCTATCATGCCAAAGGGCGTGACATAGTCACATTGTTAAGAAAAACTATTTGTCGTTCTTTGGGAGTCTTAACAGTAAGCAGCTTAGAGCTTTGCAAATTGAGCATTGTAATCGTTAACTTTTACAATGAATTAATGTGGGTCTTATTTTGTACGAAAAAGCAACACAGAATAATCAAGGGATCGCTTGGTGTGAGAAAAGTTTCCTAATTTCACTTTTAACTATAAAAAAGACAACTTATTTTCACTTTATTTAATGTTTTCAAACATTTGCATAGAGAAAGAGCAGAAAATTTTTTTCATTACTCTCACTAGTATTTCTTGTACAAAACAAAATGAAAATAAAGTGAAAATTTTCTATTTAAAATGAAATATATATTCTCAAACCAAACCATCCCCAGACACTTGATGTTTTCTTCTTCTAATGCTAGCACCATTCATTACTAAATCACGCACCTTCTGACACGCACATTAACAATTTTAAACTCGATTACAATAAAGAAAGACACAAGACCAAACCAAACTCTCACAAACATATTTACTTTCTAAATATTATTCCTAATTAACTCAAATGTTGTGCCGCTGGCACAACAGCTTAAAAAGAAAAATAATTATAAAAACCAAATTGAAAAAATACAAATAAAAATGAGAAGAAAATGCAATGCATACCCCTTGAATCCTCTTTCCAGTAACAGGGCATTTGGGTCCACTAGCTCTCTTCTTAGTACTCTGATAAACGAGCTTGCCACCTGCATTCAATAAAAAAACACCCCACATTACAAAACGACGAGTCGTAGTGGTTAATAAACGACAGCATGAAGCATGGGGAGAGAGTTTACCGGGGGTTTTAACGACCCTGTGCTGGTTGGATTTAGTGGCATAGCTATGGCGCTTGCGGTAAGTGAGACGCTGCACCATGTTTTTCCGAACAGCTTCTGAAGACTAGGGTTACTTTTCCACGACAAATAAACAGAGAAGAAGAAAAACCTAAATGTTTGGCTGATGTATATATATATATTATATATATGTGTAAAAGGAGAGATTCAGCAAGCCCTAAATCAGAGGGCACTTACAACATCATCGCCATCGCCTTCGCCTTCATTGGCATTGGACGGTTATAAATGTGACACGTGCACTGCAGAGTTAAAGGGCAGGTTATAATTCTCCATTAATCTTTCTACTGGAACAAGTATATTATGAACTCGCTTAATTTAATTTAGATTAATTCAAAAGCAATATTAAAATTAAATTAATTTTTTATAGTTTTGGTTAGATTAATTATTTCAATTCCTTAATAGAAAATATTTAATGATTATTTTTTATTAAATATTTAAAGTGATTTTAATTTTTCTTAAAATATAAGAATTAAATAATTTTTTTAAGTTAGTGTTCATGTAAGGACAAAATGAGAAAATTAACATAAATTTCATGTTTCCAGTTCATTTTGATTTTTAACATAATAAAATTAATTAAATCAAGCCGTATAATTTTTTTAAATTTTGGTTAGTATTTTATTCATTTATTTTTTAAAAAATTAATTTATCATTTTAGAATAATTTAAATCATTTTTTCAGCACCCCTAAATTCATTTTAAATTATGAAAAAAGAACTTTTCAACTAATAGTATTATTTAACACTAAGCATATATAATATAAATTGTAAAATTCATTCATTAACTTAAAAAATATCTAACTAGATAATGAGATATGCTACTATAAATATCATTCACGACATAATCTTCTTATAGGATTTTTACATAAATAAAATAAATTCAATGACATATTATGTATATGTCTTAAATTAAAAATATTTACATAAATATCCTAACATAAATTATATAGAAATCAATTTTAGTTTATTTTTGTGTAAATAAGAAGTCAATTAATTTTAATCGACTTTTATTAGTGATATCACTGAATCACCTATTATGCTGCTTATTATTATATGTACATTATAAAAGTCAATTTTAATCGACTTTGCTATTACATACTGCTGTGTGTATCATAAGAATTTATTAAAATAGATTATGCTTTATGAGTTTTTTGCGCATACTACTACAAAACCTGCAAATATAAATGGATTGTAAAATTACAGATAGGCTAGAACTGTCTGTAATATTTTTCAGTTTTAATAAAATCTTGTTTCTATACAATTTTCTCTCTTCTCTCTCTTAGTTAGTTCTGTTCGGATTACAGTCGTCCAGCTTTCTTCTCTTCTCCTTCTACTAGATCTGTGTTGGTTCTACAGTCGTTCTAGTTTTTAATGTTTTAAATTGCTGCATTTATATTTTCTACATTTAAAATAGTAGTTCTACTTCTGTCTACTTTCCTTTCAGTCTTTATTTTCCTTCCTTGATCCACTTCGAGTTCTCTAATATCAGAGCTTGATAGGAAAGTAGCAATATATATGTTGGATCTTATATAACTATGTTCATCTAGATCTGGATTTTCAATTTATGATGTACAATTTAATTTTTTCAAAATATCATTACTGGAAGCATAACAATTCTTAGTTTCTTTTGAATAGGACTACAGCAGTAAGTCTCGTGTGTGTGTTAATGGCAGTAAGGTTAATTCGATGATGTTGTATTCAAAAGGAAAAAAAAAGAATGTAAGAAGTTGGTGGCTATGGTAAAAATATTTCAATCTTTGTAAATTTGTGTTTTTAAAAAAAAAAACTCCACAAATAATCAGATCTAAAAGAAAAAGTTATAAAAGATCTAACAATATATGTTTTTATGGAACCATATGAGGGTGATGAACAAGAGGTTTATTTTTATGATGTCTAAACTTCTTCGCTCCTTCTCCCGAATCTCTCTTCGCTCCGGCTTCAGCTCTTCATCCTCCTCTCCAACAAAAAAAACCTTATCTTCAATTATCAAGAGAAACAGTCTCCTGAAATTACCCCAAAACATAATCTCTTCGATGAAAAAGTTCGCTTCAAAGAGATCAATCAAAGCATGGATGACCAGACTATTTTAGAAATTCCTCGGGATACATTATATGTTCCTGAAGAACAAACCAAAAGAAACAGTTCTGATTACATTATCAAGACTGTTGAAAATAATATTCCCCTAGGTCAAGACATAGGAGAGGAATTTCACCTCCTGTCGAAACATTCGATCAATGACCACAAAAGAAAATACAAATATCTCCATATAGGATGTGTTCAAGTTGCAATTAAACATTTAATAGACATAGATATAGATGTCGCTGTCTTAATATGTATCAGAGATGTTCATCACAATAAGTTTGAAGATTCTCTTATAGGAACAGTAAAAACCAATCTAGGCCAAGGACCGATCTATTTCAACTGTTTTCATAACAAGACAATGAGTCTCATGGATGTTAACATCCTAGACTCTTTGTTTCTCAATATTTGCTTTTATGGTTTAAACATGAAAGAGGGATCTATTGTCGCAGCTCTTATCTATAGGATCCAGTATAAGGTCATGGATTTTTGTGCATCCAGAGTCCTTCCCAAGTCTCAGAAAGGAGAGACTATTTTGTTTATCACTGATATGACAATGGCTAATGTCTCTCTTCCTAGAATCATCAAATGAGATGAAGTTATTCTCTCTGAGAAGTGGGTTATGGACAAGGCTACGCCCTGTATTCCTAGGCCTGCCCCTCAAATTCAATATATTTCTCAGGATAATTCAGGAAAAGTCGAGATAACTTTCAATAGAAGAAACTCTTTATCCTCTAGGATTGATACTTTTAGCAAATAATATGATTTTGCATCTGTGAGGAGATCCTTCTCTTCCAGATCTCAAACCTTTAGATCTGAGATACCTAGATCTGTTGCTCATGAACCATCTCACATAAACCTACAAGGTTTAGATACTTCTTCCAATATTTCTAGAACTGTTTACCAAACCTCCGATAAGGAAGAAGAAAATCAGAGTATCTAATCTCCAACTTATTCCTCCCTTAATGAGTCTTATGATATTGTCTTATAAGTTTGTTATAGATAAGGAAACCCTTAGGAAAGATTTTTATTATGAGGAATGGAAACCTTAGAAAGAATGGTTTTTCCAGAATTACAAGGATAGTAATAGATCCAATATCTAAAAGAAATTTGTAATTTTACAAATTTCTCGAAAAAGTTAAACAAAGCATTTATTTCTTTGATTGGTTTCATGTTTATACCATTTAAAACAATCTAGATTATCCTTGGCAAGAAGATATTATTAGTACATCCTCTGCTAATGTGATTTCCTGGTAGATCAAAGATGGACAAATTGTTCAAAGTGATCTTTCTCCTTCAACCCAATTCAAGTTGCCTAAATTGAGAGACTATAGTGGCAATCCTGTAATTGCAACGCCATTTAAAACCAAAAATACAGATGAACCTATCACTTCTAGTGATATTCAGGGCCTCATAGAACAGGCCAACTATGCTAATAAGTACCTTCAAGTCTTAGGATACAAGATCAGTAGAGATAAGATCCCTGCTAGCAATCCGAAAGAAGAAGAAACATCTTCTTCTGCTCCTCTAGAAAAATCACTTTTCAAACCTTTCAAGATTAGCGCCAAAACCAAATAGAAAATCTTAGAGCTTAGGCACAAAAAAAAGTCAAAAGCCTTAGAAGACAATTAGAACGAGTTACTTAGTAAAATCACTAGTATGCTTACTACCGTTCCTTAAGCTTCTAAAGAGTCTAGTGTTAGACCAAAAACTATGTCTCTCTCTAAGACTGTCAATGTCATTTGCAAAGCTGATTCAGAATAATTTTCTAAAACAGATTATATCTTAAATATCAATCTAGTGAATACAAATAGTAAGAACTGAAATCTTCTTCTAAACTTTATTACACTAAAGCCACTGCTCCTGATCTATTATTAGAAGAAGGTCATGATCATAATATCCAAAGTTTTAATTTAAATGACATCTATGTTTGGAACATAGATGGTAAGTTAGAGTGTAACATTGTTTCTACTTTGCAACACATGTCTATTGTTGTCATGGGCTATTATACCAACCATGATTATTCTGGAGATACTATTGTCCATATCTTAGTTGCAAGATTTTCTAGTCAACTCAAAGGATAATGGGATAATTATCTCACTGAAACTAATAGAGAAAATATCCTCTCTGTAGTTAAAATCGACGATAAGGGAAAAGTCATTGTTAATAATGATGAGCAGCTTCCTAATGCAGCGTATACCCTCCTATACACTATATTCCAACATTTCCTAGGAGATCCATCTTTATGGAGAGACAGATCTGCTGAGTTATTATCCAACTTTAAGTGTAGAACCTTAGATAACTATAAATGGTATAAAGATATCTTTTTTTCCAAAGTCTATACTACAGAAGACCGCCAACAACCTTTTTGGAAAGAAAAATTCTTAATTGGTCTTCCTAAATCTTTCGGAGATTTGGTTAGAAGCAAACTCAGAAATCAATCTGTCAATGGAGAAATTCCTTATGATAGTCTTAGTTATGGTTAACTCTATACTATTATCACAAAAATAGCTCTAAAAGTTTGTCAAGAGGATAAGATTCAGAGACAACTAGCCAAGGAGAGAGTCATGAATAAAAAAGATTTAGGGTCTTTCTGTAAACAATTCGGTCTACTCCCTTGTTCAACCAAAAAGAAAAAACAAACTCCTAAGAAGGAAGCTGTAGAAGCCAGTAAGAAACCTTACAAAAGGAAGTATAATAGAAAACCCTCTAAAAAAATAGGGAAAGAAGTCATCCCCAAAAATGTTTCTAGAAAACCGAGAACAGGTGTAACATGTTACAACTGTAGTAAAGTGGTAAACCCGACCATATCAGTAAATACTGTAGGCTCAAAAAGAAAATTAGTAATATCTAGTTATCTACCTTGATCCTTCCATAGAGGATTAAATCAATAATCTTCTTATTGAATCCTCTGATGATGATTCTGTGAAAGAATCAAGTGAAGATATCAATCAAATTTAACAAGATGACCAAATGTCTTCTTCTGATTGTGATAAAATTTCAAAAATCAATGTTTTAACAAAAGAACAATATCTTCTTTTTGAAGCTATCAATTCTATTTCTGATCCTCAAGAAAGAAAAAACTTTCTTAATAAATTCAAAGACGTTTTGGAAACAAAACAGAAACCAAAAGAACTTTTCACATCAAATAAGTTTGATATGACTAATATCTTCAAAAGATTAGAAAATAATTATAATATAAAACAAACCACTATTCAAGATCTTTAGATTGAGATTAACAATTTCAAAAGGAAGATTCGTAAAATCAAAGAACAACAACAAATTTATCAAGTTATTCTTTCTCAACTTGAAGATAATGATGAATATGAAGTTGCAAAAGAACAACTCTATGAGAAAAAAGATTTTGAGAAAATTGATTTTGATAACCCAGAAGAAATTTTCATGAATTTGATTAACAAGGTCAAAAATAAAATTTTTTATATCTATATCAGAATTATTATAGATGATTTTTTTCTTGACACTTTGGCACTTTTTGATATAGGTGCTGATTCAAATTGTATTTTAGAAGGATTAATTCCTACTAAATATTTTGAGAAAACTTTTAAAAAATTCAAAACTGCGAGTGGTTTAAAACTTAAAATTAATTATAAATTATCTAAAGCTATTATCAAAAGTCAAGGTTTTAAGGTAAAAACAAACTTTCTCCTTGTTAAAAAATTTGAAAAATAATTTTTTTAGGAACACCTTTTATTAAAATTCTTTTCCCGCTTCAAATTTCAAAAGACAGAATTTCAACTTATCATTTAGGTAAGAAAATAACATTTAAATTTTTTAGCAAACCTTATACTAGAAATAATAATCCAGAAATTTCGGAATCATTATGCACAACTTTTGGTCATAACTAGGTAATTTTATAATTAATATTTATTTACATTTTAAAATATATTTATGTCAAAATAAAATTATACAATGAAATATCATCAATTTTTAAAATTATGCAAAATTTTATAACCTTAACATATGTAATGAGAAGTTATAATTTAATTTAACGCCCATAAAATTAAAAAAAAGAAGAAGCATAAGCTCTTAAAGTAAATTCATCCTGGCTGCCATCTCTCAACACAAACTAAAATGTAAACATATTTGATCCCAAAAATTTGAATTAGCATTCCATCAATGTGTTAACTTTAATTTGATGTATTCCGGTATGACTTTTTGTAACGAGCATGGCTTTTGTGTATGCTACTACGTAATTTTCCGAGGAAATAACAAGTATCTCTACATCAACAAGGAAAAAGCAAAAAAGAAGACTCCACATGGATCTTCCTACCAACAAATTTGATTTGGTTCAATTTTTCATCACACCATAGTAGTTGTTCCTTCCTCAATTTTTTCATTTGTACCAACCTTGAAACCAGTTTCAATCCCACTTGAGCTAGCAATTGCTCATGACCAAGTTGAATATGATCCTCATGGTGCTTTTGAAACTTCCTTACTAGGCAATTCCCGCTCCTCACTATGTCCTTGAGCTTTCTCTCCTTCTGCAACATTTAACCCAAGATTGTAAATCGTAATGATCTAAGTAACAGTGTAACCATAATAAAAATGTGTCAGTTTTTCTATAAAGAAACCTTTTGTAGGTGAGTTCGAACATTCCCAAGAAGATCTAAAATTGCTGGGTCCTTGACATCAATTTCAGTACGATGAGATTTAAGGATCATGTTCCCATAATCTTTATCTGCTTTAACGAACTCCCAGAACACTCTCATGGATTCCTTGATGATCTCTGTCAACCTTTCACTATCAATTGCATCCTCTTCACCCCACTTAATTATTTTCTTATCCTTCGTATTATCATCTGTGCAAAACAATCAGAACAAAGTTAATTATAGCTATTGTATAAATCTCACTTTAGGTCAATGCTATGTGTACAAGAACAAAATTATGGTTATTTGTTTTAGGAGAATATTAATATTAATCGCTAGAACTGATTTTAAGCACTTAAAACTAATAAATTTTATTAAAAATAAATATTTATTAGACGAAAAACTATTACTTTTGTATGCTTAAAATTAACTTTAAAAGGTGATGATAGTAAAATTAATATTTTTGTTCACCTTTAATGGCGGGAACTTGGAGCAAATTGCGTATGACACAACGATTCTTGACATAATTCTGAATCCTTGGACCTTGGAATGGCTCATCCTCTAAAAACCGTTGCATGAGGACTTGAAAAAGTTGAAATTCACCAGCCACTAGATTATACCTACGAGGCCATTGCGAATCATATTGTTTTAACTCTTCAACCTTTTTGTGTTGCCAACACAGGATTTCCCAAGAAAGGCAAACCTGCCCAACATACACCAATTCCAAATCTCTATGCAGTTCATCGACAATCTTCAAGATTGGGTCAGATATGTGCTTTGGTGCTTTGCGTGGCCACAAATTTTGAGATATTTGAGGCTTCGCACTTTGGACGGTATATTTTGGCACTAACATTAAGTTTAGAGGGTCTTTTAGTTGAAGAAGACCTACATAACACTCCACAGTAAAGTAGATGATTTAGTCAATGACAAATGGAAAACAAGATTGTCGCTAAAGGAATAAATGCTTCTATTTTTCATAACCATTCTTCTAATGTGTTAAAAAACATACAATAAAAATTTAGAACAGTGCTAAATAGTACAAAACTTTTCGGTGGAAATTCAACGAAAACTACGTTCTTATCACAAATAGTTTAAACAGTATATTAAAAAATACAAAATAATTTTTTGTATGCTGTTTTCTTTAAATATATATATATATATGTAGTAATTTTTTATTAAAAATTATAAGATATTACATAATTTGATGTATTGGTAATAGTATAATTTTTTAATAAAAAATATTATGTATTAGTTTCTTATTATGTGTCATAATTTACATATTAAAAAACTGTTTAAAACTTTTCTTTGGTCAGAGTATGATATTCGCAACCAATAAAGTCAAAGTAGAAAAGTAATATTGGAAGGTTTCAACATCTTGATTAAATACTTTACACTATAGAAAATGGAAGAACCGATCCCAATCACTGATTTTTTAAGGACGTAAATGTGTAAGGTAGACTTATGAAACAAATGAAAAAGACTGGTAGAGAATAGAATTGAAAACTTTTTTATGCAAACTTGCCACTCTTCGTGGCATTGTGATTGCAAGAATAAACAAGATACGCATAGCATTAGCAAAATATGATGGGCTTTGAAAAGGTAATGGCCCACCATTTAAACATATATGTATCCAAGAATCATGAGAAAATAATATTTAAATCTTCCAATCTTACGCGGCAAAAGTTCAGAAAAAAATTGTACGTGACAAAATATTATGAAATTATTATCGAAGAAACTTCATCAGGTATTGTGAAATGTGAGGCTAAGTACATCACTTCTGATTTATAGAAGTTATTACTACTTCTTTCATATAAATACAAAAATTAATTATTTAATAAATAGTACTAAATTTATTTGTTAAAACGAAAACTAATGGAGTCAACACTCTAGAGGAGGTCTTGTAAAAGTATCAAAACAAATTTCTCAAAATAATCTTATAAAAAAGCAAAGGAAGTATTTAGGTGAGGATCTCTGGATAACATGCTTAAAACACGACCATAACATTAAAATTGTCCTAATCCAAGATGAAATGAATGCAAGTATTAAGCATAGAAATGAAGTGAATTTACTTGGTTCTCACCTATTGCATGCATGGTCTGGTAATTCAAGACATCCAGCTTCCTTATTTTCTCAGCATAGCTCCTATAAACCTTTTGAATTTCAAGAATGTGATCCTTGTATTTGATCTTCTCCTCAAATATTAGTGGCTTTAGATCCTCAACAACTTTTGGAGACCCTAACTCCTCGTCTTCTTCCTCTAAAATTGTTGCAAGTCCTCCTTGTCTTGCATTTTTAAGCTCCAATTTCAGTTGTTCCACTAACTCATCATGCTCCCACTCATAGTCATCTTCATCTTCTTCATCAAATTCTGATTCATCTGAGTTATCTTCCCACGTGGTTTCTTTAGTTTCCTCCAAGTTGAACCCTTCTTCCTCTTCACCACCATTGTCCACATCGAGATGAAAATTGAGACTGTGTGAGACTTCACTATCACATGAAAATTGAGTTTCCTCTGTGTCTTCAACTCTTTCATCTTTAATTGTCTTAAGACTTTCAGAATCAAACCCTTCACTAGAATGTTTAGAACCCCGAATTTGACGTGTTACCGAATCATCAAAGTTTGTGTTAAATGATTCTGACCCTAGGTCAGATGACAATGAATTATCATATAGAAAATAATTATCATCAGATAAACCACTTCCACCAAAAGTTGAACTGGATGTGGAAGTTCTCTGTTCTTGAACAGAGTGCTCTTCCTCTTCTTCTCGTTGAGACACAAGGCCTTGCTCCAAATTATGCTCTGAAAGTTCCCTTTTGCAAATATTTTCAGTGCTGGAAAATGCATCATCAGAAACATTTGCAACTTTATAATTTTGTAGGAAAGTGAAAATCATGGTCCTTGGTTCTTCTACCAAACCACTTGTTGCATCAGAGTGAGTATCTGTGAAAAAAGAATCTTCTATCTTTTCTTCTTCTTCTAACTTCTTCTTGTCATCGTGGAGAAAATAGGAATCATCGTCCAAGAAAACAGAACTATCTGCTTCATCTTTATCTATTTTCTCAATATCTTCACCATCCTTTAGGATATTCTCTGTGAAAACAGACTCCTCTGTTTCTCCTCTTTTTTTACCTTCTTCGTGCTCTTCATAGTCTTTCTCCTCTAAAACAGAGCAATCTGTTTCTTCTTCTCTTTTCTTAGCATGTTGATGATTATCAGATTGAGAGTCAATTTCCACTGAATCCGAGAACTCTGTTTCTCCTTCTCTTTCTTCACTTGCTACAAGAAAATTTTCACTGGTGAGAAATAGCAAATTACCCAGCTCTTGTGTGAGTCCATCAACATCAGAATCTTCAGATTGATTCCTCTTTGTTTGATCACCTGTAGCTAGAAGAACAAGACGCTCATGTTTCCTATCTTCTACTTGAAACCTGAAATTTAAAAAAAAATCATTATTCATTTTTTCTATGCATACATAGCCAAAAGAAAAATAAAATTAACACCAATTACCCAAACGAGAAAAATCATCGAACCTGAAGATGTATCTGAGTATCAACCCCAAGGAATAGAGCACATAATTGCAGAAGAGAACCCAAAGAGAAGTCAAGACCCAAAGCACGTTTTCATAAACAAAAACATTAGGAAAACATAAATTGATTGAATCAATATGTGTTTTGAGCATGACAAGGTTTCTGGTACCCATCAATGCTCAACCTCCCAAGTTTTAGTTCTTATTTCCACAAGATATAAAACCATGCCACATGAAGGAGAATAAAGAGGCGGAAGATTTCCGAATCACAGATTCATTATGAGACAGTGAACTCTCCTCACTAGTGCATAGCGAAATCAGTGGCAGAATAATATCTGGGCTGAATTTGATTTTTGGACCAAGAAATGCGAGAATAGGCATATATTTTGTACCAGGAAAGAAAACAACGTGACGATTTGGCACAATAAATTGGTATCGTAGTACGACCGGTCTGTAGTTTATGTAACAGTTCTGTGGTACATTTGTACACTATTTGCTTGACACGTTTCAGATGCTGGGATTTGCGAGAGTGAAGTGTGGTTTGGTTCCAAGGCTATTTGTGTGCCTTATTTGCTTTTCTTAATTTGGACTCAGTCGGTGGTCTTTAGATTCAGTGGGTCAATGTTTAGGAAGCTTTGGCAAAGGTGAAAGTTTCTTCTTTTTGGGTTTGGATCAACTTGTTTGGAGAAGCAGTATGAGAATGCCCCTATGTGAAATTAGGTCCAAAATTTTCTCCCATTGCCATGAATTTGAGGTCAAAAACCAACCCCACCTGCGAGGAAAAAACAATGAATAATGAATGATGAATCGATGTAAGAAGAAAAATGTTACTCACTGGCTTAGACGCATTCTCCACATTTTTTTTAATTTCAGTAAAATGGTAAACTTTAAAATTTACTAATTGACATAAACCAATTTGAGAATTAGAAGGATACATTTTGGTTGAAATCAGATCAAAAGCAAAGCAAAGTAGGAAATATTTTAATATTCACAAAGTAGACAATGAAAATTGCTCTTTTTCAATTCAATCGTCCTTCCACAGTGGAAAGTGGGAGGAAGCAATCCCTTGAAACCAAGCACCATATACAATTTTGATACAGCTTATGAACTTTTTCTTATCCCGCCTATATACAATTTGAAGAGTCACGGTACCCAATTACTCAACAACAAATTTACTCGAAGAAAAATGAAATTAAAAGGGAAATTATCTGAAAAAGAAGGAAAAATATATGGAGGTTTGAGGTTTCATGTCAGAAGCTTAAGTCCCACTTGCTAATATTTGAATCACAATAATTCATGCCATGAAGCTGAGATTGCTGGTGTCATTGTAGGCACCAAAACCAAGAGACTAGACGAGAGCAAATTAGGCCTTATATATGAACGAGTAAAGTTGCCCATATTCATGCCAGATCTATGTTGAAGTGTTATCTAGAGAAAGCAAAAACATAGATATTAATATTATATTTACAATCACACTGACAAACCAAAACCTGACGAAGAATGAAAATATTTGGAGTCTAGCGGCGTCTCTACCAATAGGGAAAAAGTTAGCTTCAAATTCCATTAACAAACACGCATGCTTAATTTTGTAAACCAAGTTACCAAGACATGAAAGAACAAGACATGTTTATGGTTTTTATTTTTTGGTTGGAGCATAGAATTGTAATACTTTTCTTATGTCCGAAAGGGGAAACTAGTTCATTATCATTGATCTGGGCCACTACATGTTTCATTTTATTCAATTAATTGCCAAGCGTAGAGTTCTTACTTGGAGGATGTGACACTACATTTGATAAAAAAAAATTGCCTCTTTGTGACGTAACGAAATAAAATGGCAGCTAATTAAAAACTGTGATGAGTATGTGCCACCTATATACAATATACAGATCAACTAAGCTTGATATCTTGTTTTAATGTTTTCATTGTACACTCAATTTGATGCGAACGTATAAATACTGTGCCGAGCTAGGAATTGTTTTATTAGACCTCGTTGCCAATTTATGGCTTAAGAATTTGAATCCTCTCCTCGTGTATGACCTACTAATTAAATTTAATAAAAATTATATCCTTTTTCTATTTAATATAATCATTTCGTGTTACTTTGTTACTTAATAATATAAGAGAGTCAAAATTTATCATATAATTAGTATTCTTATTGACTATTTATTACATAATTAGTATTGAATAATGATACCCACATACTACATTTTTATAACAAATTTTCAATTTTTCTCATCACATCATTTATTTTATGTATGACTTCTCTCCCTTATAATTTTTGGTCTCTTTCTTAAATTATAAATTTATTTTATAAACATTTGGTGTAAGAGTATTAGTCATTAGTATTCTTAGGATGCCGGCTTTTCTCATCTGAACTTGGACAGTTTATTTTGGGGGGTGGTGCATGTCATTTTCATTCCATTGTATCTATGCCATTAACAATCATTAAATTCTGAAAAGAAAAATTTCCTTGTAGCAATAGCTGAGCAAGATGAATGCAAATGACAGATAGTGTGACGTTATCATAAGGGCTGTTTAATGCCATGAATGTTTATCAAAATTATCATGAAACTTGAGCTACTAAATGTTACATCCTGTAGTACCTCACGTTGCCGCTTTGTGCATGTATATCATAATTGTCACTTTAGATAGATATATGTTAAACATATTTGAAATGTTCTAGCTAAATATTCTCAGTATCTTTAATCGAGATATTTTATTTATGACTTGAAGATTCTCATGATAATAGTCAAGCTTGTAAAATCTCAAAATTCAAAAAGTAAATGGTTTTTTATTGCAATTATTTTGACGAATGATGTGCATTAAATATAGGTAAATGTTATTTGCTATATTAAATAGTGATATATTTAGTTGATCTCAAATTTCAATGTAGTTAATTTGTTTAGCCATATCAATGAGATTAAAAAATAATTATTTTCTTAAACAGTGAAATATTGTTATTGATGCTATAATAGTGAAGTACTTTGCGCCAGAAGTCGTGTCTCATCCCCAACCTCAAAGGGTACGCGACACGATAGGATAGACGGCGAAACTTGATCAACTAATGCTGTTAATTTGCTTACGAGAGAAATGGAAGTAAAATATTTTTTAATATACTCTTAATTATTAAATTTAGTTAAAATTTATTAAAAACTATATAAATTTAATGGTTTTTATTTTAAATTAAATATTTTTTATTGTTTATATTTTTAATAAATTTTAATTAATAACTAAAGTGTATTAAATAATATGTCTAATAGTCCTCTTATTCAGGGTGATCCAAATTTTTGGGTAGAACGAAGCAAAACTAGGGCCAATGTGGTCTCAACCCTTGGCGTGTTTGAAGGGATAGTGGTGATGAAGTCAATGGAAGAAATTTAGTTACGATTCCATGCAACGGTTCGGTAGAGTTTTGATAAAATGAGAATTAAATAAACGAGAAAACGATTTCTAGTTAGATTACCTTTTCCATGTCGTCAATAACATTTTGTTGGAAAGAGAGAAAAAATCTAGAAACTAAGATCAACGGAATAGGCGTCAACGGAAGAATTCATCCAAGCTAGCATCGCTTTACCAAGGCTGTTCGCTAATTTGAATAAACTTTTAAATTTAATTTAATTAAAAATAATTTAGATTTTATTTTTAATGTTATATTTAATTTATTTAAACAACAAATAAATCTTATTTATTATCTCTAACATAAACCATTTTTAATTATAACTTCATTTTTATGTAAAATTTATGCAGTAAAAAAAGAAACAAAAATAATTTTAAATTCATAAACTTATAAACACATGAAAATAATAAAATGCATCGTTAAAAAATAATAAAAAATATAATCCTATATATATATATAATTTTCAATTTTTAAAATTAACTCTATTCATCTTCTTTTATTTTTTCGATTTCCACTGAATTAAATTGTATGATGAACACATGCGTATTGTAAATTGGCGGATAGTAACGTGATCTTTGAGTAAGTACACGCGAAAAAGGTTAAATTAGAGCGATTCCTTCCCAAGGCCGACTCTCTAGAAGCGGGACTACCGACCTAAAGTTGTAGAGGAATAGTAAGAAAGAAAGTGAATAAGACCATTTGACAGCTTTTTCTCTTCACATGTATCAAAATTTATAATCTCTAGCGCACTTTTTTATATTCATACTTTTACTTTTATTTATTAATTAAAAATTATTAAAAGTTATAAAAATATAAATAAAAATTATTAAATTAAAAATAAAATGTATATAATTTTTAATAATAATAATCATAAAAGATGTATCGAAAAAGTGTATTAAAAAAAGTATGTCATTAAATAACAAAATAAGTTTTTATATATTTTTTCTTCTATTTCTTTTGGAAATTTTTTTTAAATTAAACTATTAATTTGATCTGGATCATTTCTAAAATTTATTAAAATAGTTTATAAATTAAGTAAAAAATCATTTTAGTTTCTAATATACATAATTATAATTTAGTTATTATAATTTCAAAAAATTATCAAAATAGTCTATAATTTAAATAAAATATTATTTTAGCATTTAACACATGTATTTATCAATCATTTTAATCTCTAATATATATAATTATCAATCATTTATCTTTATTATTACTTAAATATTATTCTAATAACTAAAATTATTTAACTTTTAAGTATTATATAGACATAATATGTAGTATTTAATTATAATGTAAAAATATTTAATCAATTAATTTAGTTTTTATGAAATTTTAAATTTAAAAATTGTTTATTAACTAAATTAATTAATTTTAAGAAAAATAAATTTTATAACATATCACTCATCATATTATCATTAAATATTTAATGACATAATTAACTAATATTTAATGTATTAATTATTTTTTGCTCTGTAGCAATGAATATTTAAGGATTTTAAAAATAATAAAGATCAAATTGATATATAATTTACTAGTAAAACTTATTTTCTCTCTTATCATTTTGAGACAACTCTTTTATAAAAATAGGATTCGGATCCCTTTATGTTCGATTTCAAACATAACAGTTATGTTCGTGTATTTTTATATATTCACTTAAGCAAGTAAAATTTCACTTAAGCGAATGTACAAAAATATACGATCATGACAGTTATGTTCAATTTCAAACATGAAGAGATCCTGGCGCGTAAAAATATCGAATGTTCAACTAAGGTCCTAAATAGTTTTTGAGCATTAATGATCACTATACACTGAACATTAAATTATAAATTTGTAGTCCAAGAAAAAAAAATGATTAGATCACTACACTGTCAAACCTCTTTACCTACAGAAAAGAAAAACAACTACACTGTCAAACCTCCGTTGAAGCCTTGTCTGCAACACCTCACTTTGACGAAAGTGCCCTTTTTTTAACTCTATCCCATGATTGCT